GTCAAAGGTCAGACATCTTCTGACATGATTTTCTGCTAGAGAGCAGAATTCATTGTTCCATCAGTAGACATTTTAAATTGTAGGAATATTTTTAAAGCATGAGAGACCACTTACTTTGGTAAAAAAACATGGATATACTCGTTCTGGTCATACAGTGTGTGGTGTGTGGCAACACAGCAAAAACTAAATGTTTACACATAAACTAATTTCACACACAAACATTCCACGGTCAGACAGGAAATCTCCCAAAACCTCTGGAGACCAAATGTGACTTCAGAGTAACAAAGTCGTGCTTTCGTCAACTCACGTTCCGATTGGCTACAAGTCACGTTAAACAGACAGCAGGATTGTTTTTCCCTTGAAATCAGACCACAACAGTCCAACACGTTTAACCCTCTGGAGGCAGGCGTTGCAGATTTGCAACGTTAAAACCCACCTACCTGGTTACTCCACATACGTATTTCATGAGCATTTTTCAACTCAGAAGTACCCCTGAAGGACTTAGTTGTTCGTCCTTTTATCAAAACTTATTTTGAGCCTGAGAGGGTTAATAGATTTATGATCAGAATGGTATCTTGAAGACATAAAAAACTGGATGACTCAAAACTTTTTGCTTTTAAATCAAGACTAGACTGAAGTTCTCCTCTTTGGACCTGAAATCCAGAAAAGGAAATTGCTTAGTCAATCACATGACCTGAATGGCATTAAATTAGTCTCCGAGAACAAAGTAAGGAACCTTGGTGTTATCAATGACAGGACATGTCATTCAAATCTCACGTTAAACAGGTTTGTAGGATTTTCTTTTTCCACCTTCGGAATATTGCTAAGATTAGAAGCATCCTTCCCAGGAGTGATGCTGAAAAACTAGTTCATGCATTTATTACATCAAGACTGGATTACTGTAATTCATTACTCTTAGGAAGTCCACAGAATGTAGTTAAGTCTTCAGCTTGTCCAAAATACTGCAGCTAGAGTTCAGATGAGAATTAAAAAGAGAGATCATATCTCTCCTGTCTTAGCTTCCCTACATTGGCTACCTGTTAAATTCAGAATAGATTTTAAGATCCTTCTTCTCACATATAAAGCTCTTAATAATCAATCTCCATCATACATCAGTGATCTGATTGTTCCATACGTTCCTAACCGAGCACTTCGCTCTCAGACTGCAGGTTTACTGGTGGTTCCCAGAATATCTAAAAATAGGATGGGAGGCAGATCTTTTAGTTATCAGGCTCCTCTCTTGTGGAACCAACTCCCAGCTTTAGTCCGTGAGGCAGACACCTTGTCTAATTTTAAGACTAGACTTAAAACATTTTTATTTGACAGGGCCTATGGTTAAAATCTGATGTTAGCCTAGATCTGGACAAGTGGGGGAGTAGAGGGAGGTGGAGTGTACAGTCGGTAAAGACGGCTCTCCCTTGCCCTGCCTCCAACATGCCTCCTTCTAAAAGGCTAGGTTATTCAGAGTTATCTCTGTAGTTATGCTGCTATAGGCTTAGACTGCTGGAGGACACACTGACCACTTTCCATACTCTAGTACTTTCTTCTACAATCTGCTTTTCAACTGTATTATTTCCTGCTACTTCAGCTGTTAACTTTATTTTTTCTCTGTGTCTTTCTCCCCAGAAGAAGCTACAATGATGTTCTGCTGAGCTGTGGTGGCCTCATGGAGGGGGGCATCGTCTTGAACACTGCTGCTAACCATTTAATCATTCTCCCTCTCCTGATAATAATGCTTTACTTTCCTTGACATTGAATGTGCCACTACTAGTTTATCCGTTTAAGTATAGAGTCACTAGGATAAAAACAATAATGTTTATCTCTCACCAAATAGAATATTTACTAAGAAATCACAATGTAACCATAGAAACACTACTTGGTGTGTGTGTGTCTGCTCTGTCTTCTTGATCCCCAGTGAGTCGTGGAGAATGGCTGCTTATACTGAGCCAGGATCCTCTGGAGGTTTCTTCCTGTTAAAAGGGAGTTTTCCTCTCCACTGTCACTGCATGCTTGCTTAGTATGAGGATTGCTGTAAAGTCACTGACACTAGTCAGTGACTCGATGCAATTTGCTGGGTTCCTTATATAGGAAACTTTTTTCTGATTGGCTAAATGAACTGACCTGTTTTGGAATGTTTACTATGTGAAGTGCCTTGAGACGACTCTTGTCGTGATTTGGCGCTTTATGAATAAACTTGAATTGAATTGAATTATCAACATACTTCCAAGCAGATCAGAGTGTGCTTAACGCACAGCTGGAACGTCAGTTCCAATTATCGTGAAAGCCATTGCAGTAGTTGGGGATCCTTAATTGTTGGAAAGGGGAGAATCTGGAATATTTTCTCGCCGGGTGAACTGGGCCAAAAAATCTAAAACAGCATTATTATAACAGTTAGACATGGTGGTGGTAGTGTGATGGTCTGGGACTGCTTCAGGACCTGGGCTACTGATGTGAACCGGGCTTTAGATGTTCTGAGTTCTTTTGTTGCTGGATTTCTTTAGAACAGGGTGCTGTGTTGCTTTTTGAGATAATTTAGTCTTCATGTTGTCAGTCTGAATTTGTTGATGGAATTTCACAACAAATACAACAACAAAATAATAATAATAATGGTTATTACAGTTAATTCATGATTTAACGATGATCGGTTGCCTTTTCTACATAGGTCCTGGTCAGGTCGGATAGCTTTCTTAAGCTCCATAATCATGACTCACCTGCTTCTGGTTTTCTCTCGCTCCACACGCTGTCTACAGCACTGCTCAGAGTCACTGTGAAACACAGATAAACATGTTACAACATGCAAGTGGTTTGGTGAAAAGACAATAGACTTCAGCACCGCAACACCCTCTCACACTTTTAAAAAGATTGTTATTGTAACGATGACTCTCATGTGCATTTTTCAGTTTTCAGAGCACTTTTGTCCATCGTAGCCATACGTGATCCTCAAGATGCTCCAAACATTTTCTTTCGACAGGCCAGTCAAACTTACACACCGTGTGTGTGTGTGTGTGTGTGTGTGTGTGTTCATCCTGGGAGATAAGAACATCGCAGCTTCTTGAACAAAAACAAGACTGAAGTTATTGTTTTCGGAAATAAAAAGGATAGGATGGCGATTATTCATCAACTTTTATCATCTGCATCAAATAGCACGACTCAGAGGTCTCATGTCCAGGCAAGAAGACCTAGAGAAACTCATTCATGCGTTCATCTACAGCAGGCTGGACTATTGCAATGGTCTTTTGATTGGTCTTCCCAAAAAAGCTGTGAGGCAACTGCAGCTTATTCAGAATGCTGCTGCTAGAGTCTGAACAAGAACCAAGAGAACCGAGCACGTCACTCCTGTCCTTAAATCTCTACCTTGGTAACCAGTAAACTACAGAATCAATTTCAAAGTACTTCTACTAGTTTATAATTCACTCAATGTCATGGGGCCAGAAAACATGTCAGATCTCCTTCAGGTATTTACACCCAGCAGGGCTCTGAGATCCTTAGGTAACAGTCAGCTGATAGAACCTCGAGTCAGAACCAAACGGGGAGAAGCTTCTTTTAGCAAGATGCTGCTCACAGATGGAATCCTCATGACCTCAAATGAGCCCCAACTTTAGAAACCTTTAAATCAAATTAGAAAACCTTCATTTTTTCATCAGTCTTTGAATAAATGTTCTTATGCGGCACCTTCTGCACTGTAACTGCTCACCCTTTAACTTTGTTTCTTTTAAAATTATAAATATCACTTTTCTGTCACATTGATTTTAATATTCTTGCTAATGGGAAGCACATTGAATTGCCTCTGTGTATGAAATGTGCTATATAAATAAAGCTGCCTGGCCCCATCTCTGGATGCAGCCCGTCAACTCCCCAGTGTTTCTCTTCATTGTTTGATTATTTGTGGTTTAGTGATTTTAAAAGGCAGAAAGCGTACAAGAGGAAGATAGAGAGGGCCCTGTTACTGGAGAAGTGTCATAGGGCAAAAGCTTTTGGTACTCAAATGTTGTAACATCTAACCAGGAAGTCCTCCTACAGCTGTTTCTGTGCTCAGATTTATTCAGACTCACAAGATCTTCACACAGTTATAAAGAGGAGTTTATTCAGTAACGTGAGTTTAGGTTTAGTTCCAGCTAAAACAGTCAGAAAAGATTTGTGTATAACAATAATAACAACAACAATAATAACAGTTATTATTATTATTGGAAGAAATGTATACTTTGAATTATTTAATTTTTATCCTTAAAAATTTTCAATCTTTCGTTTGTAACTAAATATTCTAAATCAAGGTCCCACTAATCTGAAGGGAAAATAAAACATGTTGAACAAAAATCTAGCTTAGCTGAGAAAGTACATGAAGGAGTAACAAACGAGTAGATGTCCTTGATTAAAAATAAAACCAACCGAAATGTTTGTTTGACTCCCCTTAAAGGTAGCTTTCAGTGGCATTTCCCTTCATTATGACCCTCAATGATAGAAGAATGCTGCTGAAACAAAACCAGCAGCAAATGAGCAGATGTTACGTCTTCAGAGGGTGGAAACACAAACCCTCGGCTGAATTGTTCACAATAGGTTGGTAATTCAGCGACGGCGGCTGCACAGTAAACTCTGGCAAAAACAACTTCCCATTTGGTAATGTAATCTTTCTCAGAGCTCCACCAAGGCTGATGTGATTAATTTCCTCCCTCTGCTGCAGGCATTCAAACTGGCCTGGACCCTTCTTTTCACAATCACCCCCGCCTACACACACACACACGCACACACACACACACACACGCACGCACGCACGCACACACACACACACACACACACACACACATGCCAGGGGTAGGAAGAACTCACAGCCTCCATTGTTTCAACTCATCAAGGAAGTTTCTGTTGTGTTTTTTAAAGTTCAGGAAGAGAATTGACTGTGTTTTGTGGTCATTCTAGTCTATGAGGAATGCAGCATGACCTAAATCAGCAAAGCATCAATTATGTTAAATAATATGAAAGGAAATAACACAGATTCACATAAATTCAGTTTGAAACAACAATGAATTGTTTGGACACACCTCTAAATAAAACCATAATCTTTATTCCACAAGATGCTCCTGCAGAATCAGTTCAGGGATAAACCACAACTATATACACACATTTCCTGTCAGTATATACAAATCAGTGTCGCCCGGCAAAATTTAAAACATGCATTTTAGAAAACAGCAAAACATGCAGTTAAGACATTAAAGTTAGGCTAAGATCAGTAGGAGGAGGGGAGAGGGAGCAGTGTGTCCAACAATAAAAGCTTTAAGCACCCCTCCTTTTACTGGGAAAATGGTCAAAAAAAGTGTCCAAATGTTCCGGCGTTTCATAAACGGGATTTCTGTCTCTTGTGTGTCTTCAAAAGTCTCTCAGAGTTTGCATTTCCTCACAAATTTCCTGCCCCTCCCACTGCGTGCCTCTAAACTGTTGCTGGAATACTGTAGCTGCTCCTGTTGCTGATGTCAGCAGGTAGCGACGCCACGCTACCTCGCGTCCCATTGGTCACTCTCCCCTCCTTGTCATCATAGAAAGACACTGCGTCTGGAAGAAGATGACAAGGGCCGCTCTAAGCAGGTTGCACCAAATGAAACACAATAACCTAAAAGGGGAGTTTTGGCCAGTTTGATGCATTTTTCTGTGTAAAAGTCATAAATACTCAACCCCAATAAAAAGCTTTCTAAAAGGCCTCAGTTTGAAGAAATAGAGTTGACATGAATGTGACCGTTAAGCTAATGGCTAGTTGGATGGTGGCTAAAATCAAATCTGTCTTAACAATTCCAGTCACCAAAATTAGTGAAAAGTCTAAAAACCACCAGCTGCTGTAAAATGTAACCTTTCCATTGCATCCAGGGGTTATGTCTGCCTGTATGCTCTGGTTCATTTTTACAATACTGACTTGTAAATAATGGCTTTTCTGAATGCATCCAGCTCTAACCTTTACATCATAGAAAAACAGCAACAATTGGATGAATTTCACAGCAGTTCCCATAAACATGGTTTTATTAATTGATACACCACTGCTAATCATAATGGTTAATGGTTATTTTGGCAGATTTATTAAGAAACTTGCAGGATTTGACCTCTGGACGCTCCAGAAGAGCTTAATTTTACTGCTGATTCACTGAAAACACCAACATTTCATGTAAATCATCATGTCATGCTAAATGAAGTTGGTTTAAAGACCAAGTTGACTCATGTTTTTAATACATTTGCAAGGATCTCTAAGATAAACCAATGCCTTATGATTCCATTCTGTGGGGTGAGCAGAAGACGGCAGGCTTTGGAGACGTATTTCCTGATATTCGGCTATCTAGCTCCTGATTGGCTAATATCAACGCGACTCTATCACTGACCCCGTTTGCAATGTTGATATTTTATCTCCACAAATAACTCAAGCCCGAAGGAGTTCTGCTCTGTTGTGGAGTTGCTAATGCTAACTGTTAGCTTCTCCTAGCTGAGACGTGCTCTTCTCTCTCCTGGACACTAAATCAGCCTTCCCTGTTGCGAGCCAAGATGGATGAGTCCATTAATGCTAATTTACAATGTGACGTAGATCCGAGAAGCTTTTCTAATCTGAACGTTTCCCCATTTATTTTTTATCAGTGGCCAGTGCAGGAAATATGGGTAGTGGACTATTTTTACCTTTGGTCTACATGTAAAAACCTGTTTCTCAGTGAACTTGGTCTTTAAAAATCTATAGAAGAAAACTGAAGCCGACTTGCTGCTAGCTCATCAGTCCTGAAGGATTTAAACTCTATTTCTCCAAACAGAGGTCATTCAGTACGTTACCTACAACCAGTAATTTAGTAATTATTTGTAACTTTTACACAGAAACACATCAAAATGACTTAAAATTCTTGAAAGCTATGATTTCTTGTTGCTGTAGTAACAGCTTCCCATTTCTCCAACTGCAATAACTCATGCATTGATATAAAACTACACACAAAACAAAGAAAATGGACCATGCAATCATTCACACTCGCTCTGCATGCATTTAAATGCCTTTATCTGACCTCCACATGCATATCAGAGCAAGGTTATAGGTATAAGTACAGATACTGCAACAGGACATGTGTTATGAGTGTTTAAGCCATGTGGGTGATTAGTAGATGGCTACGGAGGCCTGTTAGTGACACACAGGAGAACAGTAAAACCAAGCTACCTGTGGCTGCATTATAAACCTCTGTGTCGTGGGTTAGATTCACTGTTAAAGACTCATCTGATTTAGGGCTCGCAGGCTTTCTGAGAAATGGTGAAAATAAAGTCAGCTCAGGCGATGGTGCAGAGTCAGGAGAGAATAAAATACTCAACCAAAAATAAACAACCTGACATAAATACAGAAGCAGCGGGACAAACTATACAGGTGGTTTTGCATGTTTTTGTGTTTGCAGAGGCTATTTATTTTTGTAGTTTAATAAACAATTAAATATTTATGAAGCTAAAAAAAGAGATTAATAAACAAAAATGTAATTTCTTTTTACTCAGAAATAGTGAAGCTGTTTATCTCTTGATGTTACAAACATGCAAAGAAACAGTATAGTTCCTAAAAGTGAATAAATAACTGAGCCCATCCCCTAAACCACCTGATAAACACCCGTTTCTGAAATATTCAGGAGAAACAAATGGAGGAGCCAACTCACACTGACAACTCAGCAGCTGTTTCTCTTTTACCTACAATAAGAAAGGATAGGTGAGTGGAGTGGGAGGTGCTTTAAAGGGAGGAGGCGGTCAGCTTCTACTCATAAGAGGCCCGAGTGTCTGGAGGACTGTACCTCTCCTGTGTTTGTAGTAGAGCACACAGCTGACCATGATGAGGAGCGACGCCACCAGCAGAAGGACCCCTCCGATCAGAGCCTTCTTCCACAACGCCATGCGGACTAAAGAGTCATAGGAGAGGGAAGGTCAGCAGAGGAGAACAAAAGGAAACTCTGAAGGATTTAGTTGGCCTTGTGTAAATATTTGTGTATATTTATTTTTTACACGATGAAGGACTCGTGCTATGTGAAGAAAAATTAGGACGTGTCAAGATTAAACTCAAAATGTAAGAGTTAAAATTCAAATTTCAGGAAAAAATAAAAACATTATATAAAAAAATAAATAAATCAAACCTCCTCGAGCCGACAGTATTTATTCTGTTTAGTGTTGTTTGGAGATCTGGGTGTGTTTTTACAGAATAGACTTTAAATAATGAGACATTTTTTTATGTGAGGTGCTAACTTTTAGATGCTTCTGCAGCAACGTCCACAGCAGAACCCTCCTTCACAATAAAAGTCTCAAAATTATACACATTCCTGAAAATATCCAAAACTTACAAAATAGTATATTACTGTTATTAGTAGAGAAGGTAGCACTATTTCCTTGCAAATAGAAGGTTTGAATCCCAACTTGATTCCCTTTTGCCTGGAGTTAGCATGTTCTCTCCGTGCGGGTTGACTTTTCTCCAGCTCCAGTTTCTTCCCACGGACCAAAAACATGCATGTTAGGTTGATTGGAGAATCCCTGTGTCTGAGTGAGTGCCTGTTTGTCTCTGTGTGTCCCTGTGATGGACAGGAGATCTGTCCAGGGTGTTCCCAGCCTCTTGCCCAATGACTACTGGAGTTAATCACCAGCTCACTGCAGCCCTACTGAGGAACAAGTGGCTCAAACAGAGTGAGTGAGGGTTTGAGTTTTATCAGGAAAAACAATTTAAAACAAATATTTTATTAGTTACTCATCGAGAGCAGCCAGTTGAGGTGGCTCGGACCTCCTGGACGCCTCCTTGGTGAGGTTTTCCAAGCACGTCCAACTGGAAGGAGACCTAAAGAAAGACCCAGGACACGCTGGAGGGACTAGATTTCTCGGTTGGCCAGGGAACGCCTTGGGATACCCCTCGTGGAGCAGGCCCAAGTGGCTAGGGAGAGGGAAGTCTGGGCCTCCCTCCTTAGGCTGCTGCCTCGATGACCCAACCCCGGATAAGCAGATAAAAATGGATGGATGTGAGCTTCACATAATTTGATGTACGCTGTATCCTTCAGACTTTTATTGTGAAAGAGGCCCACTAATGATGCAGCAAAAGTAACACCTCACATCTATAAAATGCCTCTTTTTAATTTCAGTTTAACCTTTTTCTCTCTATTTTGAATGTAATCCTTGTGGTCTTTTATTAAAACGTGCATGTGTGTCATTATTTCTTTTGAATATTTTAGGCCATACTCATGTAGAAATATAGAAACCTAAAGGTTTCACAACCAACAAATACCAGCGGACAATGAACAAACTGAAAAGAATAATTATTAAACTTAGTCCCATTACCATCATTTTTTGCATTTAGTACAACTGAGTGGCAGAACCCTGACTGGATTTATAGTTTAATAATAAGAAGACAGGTTGTTTCTTTAAAAAATGATGCTAATCTCACCTTCTACGTCGACCAGGTCACTTTGGACTTTGAAGTTGGCACGGTTATCAGCCTCGCAGTAGTACATGCCGCTGTACTCCTTGGACAACCCAGTAATCTGATAGTTTGAGTTGTTACTGAGGGATGTTGTCACTTTCAGAGGTGTTTCTTTATCATGACGAAACCACCGAAAGGTGACGGGCGGCGTGCCTTGTACAGAACATATGAGGTAGAGATCGTTTCCCTCCACTGGGTCAGGGATGACTGTGAGGATCGGATTGGTGATGGGCTCTGGGAGGAGAAGATAAAGTGAGATCAAGTAGTTTATTGAATAGTTTGAACAAGAATATTTTTGCACTTTCGTTTTCATTTAGATTATATGTACACAAAAAAAGGTAATAATTTGATTACATGTAAAATTAATATGATTATTATTTAGGTAATAATATTGGAAATAATAGTCTTTAAACTAACATCTCCATTCTTTTTAGAATTATTTTAAATAGTTTTTTTTTCCTCCATTTAAGTTCAGTGCATTTTTTGTAAAGACAAAGGAACTAAACTATGTTCTACCAAGCGGTGGACCTGCCAGTTACAGAGAATATTAATCATAATTAAAGGTGCCACTGTAGTCTATTTTCCTAAGCACAAGAATCCCTCTCACTGCCGCTCCGTGAGTTTCATGGTTATTGTTAGTTACGGTTCAGCGCTCCAGATGAAACTCCAGATGACAAGCGAAAGCAAGCCATACACAGTACGCTCATAAGTAGTAAGTTCATAAGTAGATGAATACATTGTTTTATACGGTGTTAGCACTCTTGAGTGTTACACAGTAGGGAGCACTAACTACACTTATTACGATATTTCTGCAGCATGAGAGGAAGTGTGTTTTCCATCTTGCTGTTATAGTTATGAACGACTCATAAAATGCCACGATTGACTTATGGGCTCGACACACGGAAGGCGACATCGCCTCTCCTCCTTTCATTTTCAATGAGACATGCGCGACAAAGCGATAATCGCGGGTCTCCCACCTACCAAGCAAAATGCGAAAAACATGAGTGTGAAATTTTGCGCTCGTGCACGTGTCGTGCACAGGCGACCCAGCGACGCGATCCCAGAAAGTTGAAAAATTTTCAACTTTTCATCGCTGTCGCTCGGACGAGAACCAGTCAACGGAGGTTTCATTCATTGACCAATGAGCGGACAGGATGCTCCATACATCTCCGAGCAAACATGGAAGAGAAGTTGATTATTATTATGTTTTATATAGTAAAATCACAAGATTTCAAACAACTCTAGCAGCACCTTGTGAAACATCATATCTACCGCTTTATTAGCTCTGAACCGCTTAAATAACATTAATTCCCTCCAACCTGACACAGCCAAGTAAAACAACGGAAGTTTCGATTTTGCCATAGAACAGAAAGCGTAGACGGCTTTGCCGCCGGCCGCTGCCGTGGATCGCCTCCCGTGTCAGGTAATAAAAGCGACAAATTTAGCTGATCGCGGTTGTTTGTCGCCTCCCGTGTGTCGAGCCCATTATTATTCACTTCACACTTGTAATATTGAGTTGTACTTAAAAAGGTAGCTTGAGATATTTTTAGAGCCAACTATTTGCTTCTAATTAGCCGTTAGCATTGTTAGCTCAGTGTTAGCCTCTTGCCTTCTTCATCTGATATTAGAGTAAAACACAAAGATGCCGTGGCTTCTGAAGCACACAAGAAATAACTGCTGGGTCTCTCTAGTTTACTGGCTTTGGTTCTTTAAAAACACTCTGAAGTTTTTGCCTGCTGGTGTCAAATTACAAAGGCTGGCGCTGCAGTGTTAGCTTGGCACAGACTGTGATTATTTGATTGTAGGATTTGTACAGATTGCTCCTTTAGGTTTTGTCACATGATGACCTATTTAACAGTTTTAAAATGTTGTGTAGCATCCACACAAAAAGTTCAAAGTAGTTAAGCAAAACTACAGCCCGAGCAACTTTGAACACTAGACTGTAGTTGGATTACAGTCAATTTGTAAAAATGTTCTTCAGTAAAGAGAACCCCACCAGGAAAAAACATCTGGCAACGCTCCTTGTCTACTAATGATAACCATCACCACCTCCGTATGAGAAGTATGTGCAGGCTCTAAACAATCATCAACCTGTTTTACATAACACAAAGCCCTTTGCATTTTTAATACTTGCTCGCCAAGACTCTGTAAAGACCACCCATGTTCTGGTTGATTTTTATTGGTCTTCCTCGTGTAAGAGAGTCTAAAACAAACAATCACAAAGGACTTTTTGGTATTTAAGGAAAATACCTTGTGGCCCAAACCCAACATCCTTCAAAACCCTAAGAATACCACCCCTACAGTGAAGCACGGTGTTGGTAGCATCATGCTGGGGTTTGGTTTGTACAAACAAGGGTTGGAAAAATGTTTCAAATGGTCATTTAATTTCATGACCCTCAAAGGATTAGGACTAGGGTATACAGTCTCATATAAACATGATGAGATTTCTTCCAGTATTTACCAATGACAGCAGTATCAAGAGCAGCACTCTGCTGCTCTTCCTCGCCACCGTTATTCGCCTTACAGGTGAAGAGGTTTATTTCTTTAACGTCGTTAATGACAACTGAAATGTAAGCTGGTTGTCCAAACGATTTGATGATCGGAGTTCCCATTTGTGTTTTGCCCTTCCAAAAGCTGTAGGTGATGGGCCCACTGCCTTTTGATGACTGGCAGAAGATTCGGAAGGACTCTCCCAAGATCGGCCAGTCAGCAACCCGGATACTTGGAACTGAGACAGGGACTAAAAAGAAAAAAAGATGGAAAAAAGAGAGAGGAAAGACAAAAGTAAAAAAAAAAAAAAAAATCTTTTAGCTGTGGTTGTTTGACAAGTAAAAAAAAATACTTTCAAAGTTGCTGCAATCTATTTCACACAAAGAATGGAAATCTTAGTTGTAAATGAACCAAAAGCACAGCACAATTAAACTAAAAGGATGTGCTGAGGCTACAGCCAGGTGGGTTCTTATTAGCAACACAAGCTGGTAATGTGGCACTAACAAACGTAGCAGAAATGTGTTCATTAATGGTAGCTGGGCAGTATCAAATACCACGTTCACTCGTTTTTTTCAACAGTCTTGCAGTGGTCTCTAGTACAAATTAATGCCTTGTGACTGATCTCTGTGGGGAAAAGCTCTGGCACTCCTGTTTCAGGAACTAAAGGTGAGTTAGATGAGAGGTAAGCAGAACATGGCAAGATTTGGAGTCTTATTTCCAGAAGTAGTTCTGCTGTGTTGTTGAGTTGCTAATGCTAATGGTTGGCTTCTGCTAGCCTAGATGCGCTAAGCTCCCTCCTTAACGCTAAATCAACAACAGCCTTCCCTGGTCATGAGCCAAGATGGGTGAGTCCATGAATGTTAGCTGTCAATATAACGTTGATTGGAGTGGCTTTTCTAATCCTAGCGTTTCCTCGTCTATTTTCCTAATCTAACTCCCTCATGTTGCTCCTAGGCGGGCAAACAATAAAGATTTTCAGGCTTATTTCCTTGCCAGTCGTGCAACCAAATTTTACAACCGACTACACATCCTCAGGTTGCTAACCCTTTGTTTGGCCTGGTAAGATAGCGCCACTCTCCAAAGCCTTATCAGTGGCTAATGCAGGAAACAGGGGTAGAAGACTATTTTCACTTTCAGACTGCATGTTAAACTCAGAAGGACCAATCATTTTTACTCAGTAGTCTAAATTTCCCTAAATCCAAGCAAGAACTAACCGGAATACACACGGAATTCACTCACGATTCCTAAACAGTCGCAATCTCAAAATTAAATATGGCTTCCTTGTACATAAAACACGTAACAGCTTAAAAGGTAATCTTTTAAAAGTCATTCTGTGGATTCATACCTGAGTAATTTGGTCACATATGCAGTAACAATAACTTTTAACCAGTAAGGATTGGTCATTATGCTGCTACAGTGTTTCAATCTAGACAAATATGATGCTTGTGATGCTAACAGTAGTTAGCTTGGTTTCTGAACACCACTTAACAAATCCCTCTGACTTTCCAGCTTGAATCTAAAACATGTTTAATCTGATGCCATTCCCAGAGATGAGCTCTCACCTCTTAGGCATCAATGCACAGAGCAGCCAAATTGGATTTTAAGGTTAAAGTTATTGAGGTTCCAATTGGGAACTCTATTAATGTCTAGGGTAGAACTGAATAAAGAAAAGTAACTATGAGAATACCAAACTCTGTTGTTTACCACTTGTGGGAAGGACGTTGAGGATGAAGAAAAAACAGTAATACAAAAGCTGAATCTTCAAAGATTTGGGAAGGAATTGTTTGGCAGTTTGAAGAAAAGCCTGGGACATGAGCAGCAATTTAACTTCTAATGAGACAACAAGCTGCAATTCTTGTAAATGGACCAGAAAGAGTCCAGACCAAAGTTACAACGAGAATCTGTAGTGTGAAATCAAGGCCAAACAACAAAGTGAACTTACATGTAAGGGGGCATCTTACCTTTGGGATTGATGGTCAGGGTTCCGCTGCGTTTCCTAATGCCCTTAGCTTCAGCTATACATGTATAATTGAATTCATTCTTCAAGGCTCTGCCAGAAAATATTCCAGCCCCATTCGGAGTCAGAAAATGTTCAGCCGGATCAAGAGAATAAGTCAGGTCTTCTTTGTTGACTCTCTCCAAGGCTACATGTTGACTTTTGCAGATCAGCGTCATTGGTTTCATTTGAAATACTTCAGGAGGAGACATGATGAGTTGGGGCACTGAAAACAGCTCTGTGGATGGATGCACAACAAAGTCTTCATTAGCAATGAAAAAACCAGCATGAAGGCTAATGTGAGCTTTCAGAAAGCGAAAATCTACAAACTATTCTCAGAAATAGACTTCAGGTTAATTTAATGACCAAGACTGAAAGAAGACATCTTTGCAGCTACTCACCTGTCACACGGATTGTCTTTGTGTCAACTTTTATTAGATTTTTTACCGTCAACCTGCAATCAAAAGAAAGTGTGGGGGCAGTTGCTTCCACCATCATGTTGTATTCTATGGCAGCTGTAGCGTTTCCAACACTGAGCAGATTGGTTCCTTGGTTCAAGAGGAGATTCATTCCTTTGTGGCTTTGATTAAACCCCAGAATTGAACACTTGATGGTCAGATTATCTCCCTCATAGATGTTGTTCACAGGTGAGATCTCCAGAAATGGCTTAATGGAAAGTTCTGTGGATGAAAATCATGAACCGTGACGTGGATTTAGCCAAGACATATAGTGAAATAAAAAAAAAATACACCGAACCTTCGACTGTAACAATGACTGTGTTGCTTTCGTCGGACGTGACTGACTCAGACATGATGAAGACTTTATAGATGCAGTGAATCATGTGTGCGCCGATGTCTGAGAGGGGAAGCTTTATCTCTGCCTGGTTGGTGTTCCGATGCTCATCGTGGATCTCACTGGAGTTGTCATAAAAGTAGAAAAAGAAGGAACCGGTTTCACCCGGTGCCAAGCATCTGACTGTTACACCCTCTCCCTCAGTGGTCCTACTCTTGTCGGCGTGGAGGATGGGTGGCGACATTCCTGGAAACCAGAGATTAAAGGGGTCATATAGAAAATCCACTTTTTGGAGCTTTTTATGTGATATTATTATTTCCTCAAGTGGGCGGCTTGCCCAGCTTGGGCCGACGCAACTCTGTGCGCAGCAATCCACCTCTCTGACATTCGGCGGTATAGAGACGAGTATGCGAACAGCATCCCCACCACACAACCCTGTGCATGCCTTTTCCTGTTTTTTCTGCAAATTTAGAGTTTTACTTAGAAAATCCTGTAAAACATCAATGGAAACTAGTCTAGTCATCAGGCCCTGCTCCTCTCCAGAAACTAGTCTCTGGTCTGAAGCCTGTGCCCTCTGGCCGGCACAGGATATGTGGCCTAGGCCACTGATGCCATGCAGCAGACTCGGTAGTCTAGTGGTCAGAGTGCTGGGCTGGCATGTAGGTTCACATCCTGTTCTGAAAAGTAACTTTATTTCTTCTTTTTTAGCCGACCTTGCCAGTATGATGTTGGCAATCCTTTCTTGGTAAACAGTTTAAAAATGAAGGACTAATCTGTTCTTATTTTTACTTTGTTTATTTAGCCAGTGTGAGTCCATGCGAGGGGAGGGGAGTAAATCAACTACCGATAATTGGAAATGACCGAATTCAAAGTTGTTTAGAAACACAAAATATTTTGCAGAAAATAATCAATAGAACTAAAATATAACATTAAATCTGCTTCAGCTGGCTAAATAAATTACTGCCCACATCACTGGGACTTGAACACAAGTAAACACATGGCATTCAGATGCCTAACCACTAGACAGCAACTGACTCGCCTCTGTTCAAAGGCACGTTTTGTTGCAGCGGGTGGAGTTTTACTTAAAACGTTCTATTTCCACGTATAAATTCAGGCTGACAAAAAAGTATTGTATTCTAGATAAATGACATCTCAATAGTGCCAACGATAATATTTTATATGTGCCTACATTTGTTCTCAAAGGTTTAAAATAGCACGATACGGATCCTTTATGAAATTTGAGAAAGAATGAATGCAAACAAAGCAGAGATGACTGAAACTTAATAAGCAAACCCATTCAAAACATTTGACTTGTAAAAATTACATTTGTGTGAAATTTGAGCTCTAAATATAAATAAACCCACCTGTCACAGTGAGCTTTTCAGACTTGCTGGTCATCTCTTGGCCCATGATCCGTACCATGCACTTGTACCTGCCATTGTTGGACACTCTGGCCTCAGGTAGGTGGTACAGGAAATCCTCCTTGGAGCTGGTGTTCTTGTTGTAGATGACACTGTTGTCCTTGTATAGCGTGTACTCACGGTTCAGCTGTGCTAAGGAGATGACGCTGGCCTGACATCTCAAAGTCACGTTGGTGTTTCGACGCACAGCAGCCCTCGGCTCGATGGACAGCGTCACAGAGGCTATCTGGAAAACTGGGGGTTTGAGGTAGAATGAAAAAGAATTTATCAGCCAGATTTGTGGAAATAAAACAACATTTCCATCATCCGCTACCAGTTTCCTAATTAATTTATTGAATCAAAAGAGCGAGAAATTTGACAAAACTTTGGGGGAAGCTGGTAAATAACATAAGACATAAATAGGACCAGTGTTAGACATTTAGGTGCAAAATAGTGCTCATTAATGTTTGTGTTTTTAATATAATCAGAGGGGTTTTACCATTAGAGAGCCTCATGAAATACTTGATAATCTCCCACCCTAGATGTCATGTTTTAAGTTGTGCTGTGAAGTAGCAGTTATTTGTGTAAATGTGTGTTTTATACTGGAGGCTAAGAAAAATTATTTAAAACAGGAAGAAAACACCTCAAATTAAAAAAACAACACAACTAAAACAATGTTAAAGAGCAAGTCACCCCCAAATAAACATTTTTTTTTTGCTGATAAACTAAATAAACGAGTGTCTAATCGTGCTGCAGACACGTGTTGTCAATAATTTGGCACTTCAGTGCATCTTAGTTAAAATTTAAATATTCTGCCTAAAACTGGCAGTGTTGTGCCGTTGTCAGGTAAAAACTCTGCTCTGTATTCTAATTTAAATCTGCCACCGCTATTGGCTAAGAAGTATGCTATGATGTAAACTGGTACATTATGATGTCACAATGCTGTCGTGAGCCTGAGTGTGTGTGTATTTGTTAGCGGCTCCGCCCTCTCGGTCTGCCAGGCAACAGCATGTGTTGCATTTTTCAAACATGAAGTGGGAGTGGAGTTAGACTCTGGTAGGGGGTGACTTGCTCTTTAAATGATGCACATGTAGTTATACACGTCATTTCAACTAGACCCACAAAAATAAGAGAAAATTCAGGTCCAATCTTTCCTTTCACAATAAAACAAACTTATTTGTAAGCTTATATTAATATATGATGCACCATAGCAGGATTTGTTTTCTTTATTGTTTGATTAGCTTTGTTGTGTGTTGAAAATTTACTCTGCTATCTTCTTTATTTCTTGTATGGTAGGAGGACCTGCTCAAAAACGAGATGTCCCATCTGAAGCGGTTTCTTATCCTCCTAAAACACACGTTGTTAAATTAAGTGAACATGATGACTCTGTAGGAAAACAGAGGGCCTCGTATCTACACCTGGACAAAGTAATCTCTCAGATGAGATTCACCCATCAGCCATGTTGGCACATTTTAGACATCAGCACAAAACCTGATCTCCACTCTCATCTGTGAAACCAGAATGAAGAACTCTACAAATGACAGCAGTTTGGTTTCCTGCAGAAAAGCATCTGGGCCTCCAGCCAGAAGATCAGACACCAGCAGAGGAGGCGACAGGCTGCTGCAGTGATTTGAATCGGGCCGTGGCAGAGCGGTAAACAAGCCCTGATCAGGCAGGAAAAGCACTTTGCTAAACAAACGGGTCACTCTGGGGACGAGGCAGAGCGCTGTGGTTCTGGCCCCCACCCAGCATGAAGCTGGCAGTGCTGATGGGGAGAATAATAAGATGAGTTCCTGCAGAGCTGAAGCCACAGCAGATTCATGAGGCAAAATGCACAGAAATTCTCAGAAATTTGTGAAAATAATATATACACATATATATATATATTTTTTAATTTTTGTTCGTTTTGTTTAAAATGTATAACATTTATACGACTCATATACATATCTCAACAGTTTAAAGTTCCACTGAAACATTTGTATATATTTATCTGCTGGATTAAACTGGCAGCTCCCCCATTTGGGGTCCTAACACATCAATAGCGAGGTTTTCAGATCATCTCCACAAATTAAGGTGCACTTAACCCTTTATAGAGCCAACATATATATTGAGACACTCCCACTCGCATCATGAATGATGTTGGGGTGTCTTTTCACGGACTCCTACAATTACAGGATTTCATCCAACCAATCATCAGAGATCAAGTTGGTCACAGTTCGTGCCATGGAGCCATTCCACCAATCAGCAAGGGGCTATAACGCGCCAAATAATGGTGTGTCTGCAGAACCAGAACACTGCTGCCTACCTCTTGTGTTTACGGTCAGATCTCTAAAACTAACAATGCTAGGTTTATAAAATTCTCACATCACAAGGTTGATTAGTTGTGCTAAATAAGGATACATTTGTTGTAAATGTTAAACTCAATGAAGTTGGTGAAATCATAGCAATATAATCAAAGCTGCCATATTTGAACATACACCCTAAATAAAGAAAATAAATAATGTATATATTTAGGTAAAAATCTATTGTTTTTTAGACATAACCGTCATTATCACGGTAACAGTAATAATAATAAATATAATATTGAATACCTTTAGCAGTTAAGGTTAAGATTTCTATGAAAAACAGTAGAGGACAGTTATTTTGCCAGCCAATCTTGCCAACAGTGATGATGAAGAGGAGGAAGATGACACTGAGGCAGATCCTCAAACATTTAACATTCTAAAATATTCTAACAATCTATATTGGATCAGAAATGGTTCATATTGTTCAATAAATTTCAAAAATATTCTACAGTGATCTGTTGTTATAAAAATATAGTATATTGTTTAATATCATTATATAATCATCTATATTATATTGTTATTGAAAAATAATGTTTATTTAACTTTTTCATGTTTTTTAGTTTAGCACTTCCTTTTTTCTGATGGTCCACATAAAAATATGCATATTTAAAAACAGCAACATAAAAATACATTTTAATTTAATAATTTAATTATTTAATAATACCCATGTTTTTCACATTTTAAACTACTTCAATGAGTGGCTTAAAGGGTTAAAGGGGTTCTAGGCTTTATTAGTGGTACATTTTTGACCAGTGAATTTTCTTTAGCAGCTTTATGTTTGGCTGATCAGATTATATTTCAACACTTCTACATCTTTGATGGCAAACAAAATGATCTGAAATCATTTCTCAATCATTAACTTTATTTTGGTCTGTTTTCAAATGAAAAAAAAAAGACACTCTTATTTTGACATGGCCTTCAAATTTTATCCACTGAAGAAAAAAAAAACAATCATGTAAAACAATAAATACATTTTAGTTAAAAATATTAACTAAAGAACAATCATTTTTTTAATTTTTGTTAGTGTTTGAATTTATTCTGGTTCTTAGAATTAATAAAAATGTATCATAGAAATTCAAGAGTTTTTAATCATATTTACAATACAGTTATGAGAAAAGTTGATTTATTTATTGCCTTATTTAAAATTTGAGTAATACATTTATAGTAACAGGACGAGGCTTGGCGTGGTGAATCTGCCATCAAAGATGTTTCACACAAAATAAAACGAGTGAGAAAACCACCAAACTTTATAAAATAAAAGCTTCTCTGCCATCCTGAACCTGCTAATCTCAGCCCAGATTAGAGATCTTCAGCTGACTCACAGCTTCCATCACCAAGTGGCTCCTGAGGCGTGCGACAACATGTTCCCAATGCTTCCCACCATAACTTTTCCACCAGCGATCAGAACACTCTGATAATGGCCAGAACTGTTTCCACTGACCCGGTGCACGCCTCTCGGCCCTCTTGAGTCTGATTTAGAGTCCAATCTCTGATTCAAATGGGAACTAGACTTGTTCTTTCTGTTTTGCTACGAAAACCTGAAAAATGAATCAGTCGTTTGTCTAAGATTAAACTCACCTGATTCTGTGTTCACGGGTCCGCCTGAAGCATTGGGAGAAAAGAGGAGTAAAGCACCTTGTTAGAGGCAAACCTAAAGAAAAACTCATGTTTGCTGGAGAAGGTTAGAGGAGTCTTACAGCTGCAGAGGAGCGCCGAGGTGAGCAGGAGCAGGAGGTCCATCCTGTCTGAGGGGCTCCCAGGGTCTGCTGCCCTGCAGGGTAACAAAGTAGTGACTGAAGCTGCCTGATGGGTGCTGTGTGTGTGTGTGGGAGTGGACACTAAGGTGGTGCTCTACCTCAACCAGTCAGCAGCGGCAGTTATCACCACACGCAGCCATCAGCTTGGCTTAATTTGACAGGAAGTGAGAGTTGTTTCCTCAGGATGTTCGTGCCGCCCGGCTCTTTCTGTTGTGGAATGTTCTCCTTGGGCCTCCTCCACATACAGTGTGTGTGTGTGTGTGTGTGTGTGTGTGTGTGTGTGAGAGAGAGAAAGAAATGGTAGTCACAATAGCACCGGCTCGCCTGGACATTCAGCAGTAAGGCCTTTGACCTTTGACCCAGGCTGGTAGCAACACACGTCACACGTTTCCTCAAAGGAAAATCACAGTTAGTGAGAAAACCTTTTAACAGACGACTCTTACAGGAATAAATTAGAATTTCTATCACAACGGTAAAAAGCTGCTAAACCCTCCAAACTGACAGGTATTTCCCAGACCGTACCCGCTTGGGTTCAAATTGAACCCGTAAACATTAAACATTAGAAAAAGAACAAAATTTTAGTCTTTATGAGACTAACTCTCATGGCTCACTTCTATTTTATGAAACAGGAGCGCCAGAGCTTCCCCCTCCAGAGATTGACTCACACTTATACCAGAGACCACCGCAAATGTGATCACAAAACAAGTGCACCTTGTCTTCATGGATTTGTTTCTTAGTTCTGTTCTTGGTGGGAAGCGTTTAGGTGACAGTTATTGTCTGGAAATGCAGCTAAGTCTCAGCTCTGTCGGTTGTGAGAGAACGAGCGTGGTTGTGTGTCTCTTTTGGGCCATTCCCATCTGTACCGGGTCGGCCCGGGCCGGGTAGCCCCAGTCGGCCCCAGCCTGGACCGGTTGATTCCACACATCCTTGTCTTAAGCCCATGTGGGCTGATTCTACCCACCAATCAGAGGCTTGCTCTAATGGAAGGTGTGAATTTGCTGTCAGCAGTGGGTGTGTTGGCCCTGGTCGGCCTGAAGCAGACCCCCTCGAGAAGAGGGCTGAGAATGAGCCTTGGTTGGCCCGGAAAAATACCAGGCCACCCAGATATGTAAACAACCTACGCAACCCGGCCCGGGCCGACCCGGTACAGATGGGAATGGCCCATTTGAGAAGGCAGAAAAGGCAAAGTTTGGTTTGTGCTCTCAAAGATCTGTCGATGGTGGGGTTTCCCCAGATTGGCGGTGGCACTGAGCTCTTGAGGTTTTGGACATAAGAAAAAAACAAGAAAGCCAAAAATGACCTTGTTCTTAACCATGAAGACATCATTCGCTATGCTAGCAAACTATACAAAGCAAATATGTTTGGTTGAGTGTTGCAAGCCAGGGTTCTGCGACTCAATAGGAGTCTAAGAAAGGGGTCGGAACTTTAAATTTTATTGTATTTAAAAAAAAAAAGCAGCTTGCTTGAACAGCTTCTGCACCTTTAAGTTCTTTGCATAGAAATCAAGTCGTAAATAAAGAAATCTCAGCTTTTTTGTGCTCAACAGTTTCAGTACCTTCCAGAATTTGCCATTTCAGGGCTCTGTCACTTCAAAAAGAAACAATCTGTAGCTGTCCACGCACACTCACCCCCCACTCAGGCTGCTAAAAGCAGAAGCTCCGATATCCAGGAGAGGCTCAGAGTGGTTTTATTCTAATTTCCCTGTTTGGGATGTCACAAACGGGGACTTATGAAACAACTTGTTTTAGGCACATAACTCCATTAAAGGAAACAGATGGACATTTTTTTCACATTTAGTGTTTATAGAAGTAGAGACCCTCATGACATCACAAAAGGATACAAAAGGAGAGTTTTGCACAATTTGCTACCTTTAAAAGCGATCCTTTAATTACATGACAGAAATATTTAATCTAGTAACTCTTTGTGTAACCTATTTTTCAAGAGGTGAAGAGTTGAATCTCCTGATTTTAAGAATTTTTTTAATAATAAATTATTTTAGGACATAATGAGAAAAAACTTCAGAAACAAACTCAGGTTGTATTTGGTTTATTTCACTGATTTCACCTCCTGTTTGTTTATAAGCCAGTCAGCAAAGTCGTCTAGTCTTGGAGACAAACCTGATTGTTTTGGTTTTCCACTAATGAGTTAGTCTCTTTTTCTTCAAATCTAAAATCTTAAAACTCAAAGCTGAATAGTTTGAGACGAACAGGATTCTGAGCTGAGGTTTGTTCTTTTTTGGGGGGCAGATCCAATGATGTTCTGAACATGCTGTGCAGCAGGGTTTTCCTGACTCCACTGAAAGCTGTGGTCATGTGACTCAGAGGGGCGGGGCAGCGGTTTGGGTGAGTAGCAAGAAAACAGGCAAAAAATAAAATAAGAATTAAAACCATAAATTAGAAAAAGGGCAAAAGAAGAAGTTAGGAAGGCAAAGCTGCAGCTCTGGAAAAGAGGCACGCGGGTGGTGATGCAGCACGGAAACTAACCTCAGAGCCTGAACGATAATGTCGCCACGGCGACGATCAGCTGCTCTGTGTGTGAGGCGGACCTGGAGTTACCTGAGTGAAATCAAAGATCTGACACAAGGATTTACTGGTGAACCGGTGAGTCTCCTTTAACATGCAGAACACGACCAAAACTAAGGAGGCTGCAATAAAACCTTAACACAAACGAAAACAATAAAAACGGCTCATTAGAACTCTGTGTGATGGAAGCAGAAGAGAGAAAAGATCCAGAGCGGAGTCAGATTAGTGTGAAGAGAAACAAGTGTGAGTGTTGTTGTGAAATAGCATGAGGACCTTATTGCTCTACAGGACAGGTGTGTGCATGTGTGTGTGTCAGCCTCCAGGATTATTTTCACTCATCTGCTTTAGGAGGTTTTATGCAGGTTTTTCGTCATTTCAAACAGAAAAAAAATCAACAAAAACACCTCTGAGCCACAGATGATGATGATAATGGTAATAGTGTTTTGGCACACTGGGGTCAGAAAAGCAGGAAGTTCTTTCATTTGGGAGCAGGCTGCTCTGTAGGGCATTCATAAAGGCTGAGGGCCCACAGTGGGGCACATCTGTGCTATAACCACACCTACACACACCCCTACACCTACAACTACACACACGCAAACACACACACACACACACACACAGATGAACAATCCACCACATCCGAGTCGGTCCTGATGAGGATCAAAAACTCTGCATCCTTTGGCTGCGGCTGAAGTAATGTGTGTGTGGGTCCTGTGTTTCCTAACAGAGTGTGACCTCTCTACAGCCTCGCATAGCCGAGGTCAACGTTCATTCAGGTAGTGATGCTCGCTCTTCAGGCAGGAGGAACCGATCCTTTAAAATAGATCCTCTTCTTCTTCTTCTGCTAAGTTTTAAATATACAGACTCCTCAGCACAGCCAACTGGACAATCATTAGCTTCATGATAAGAATAAACAATAATACTAATATATATATATTTATACGTATGTATAGAGTCACTTGTAGCACAAGTTTGTGTCAGCAGCCATCACTTGAACATTCACGGGGAGAAATGGTTCTGTACAAGAAAAATGTCATCTACGTCCTGGTGCTCGAGGCTCGGGGTCAGAGGTCATGAGTGGAGGAGGGGGTGCTGGTGTTATCTGAGCCTCTTCTCTGCTGAATAGATGGACATGTAGTAGTCATTGCTGCCTACTGCCAAGTGGGGCTGGAGGGAAAAAAGGAGGATTTAAAAGGATAATTCAGACTTTTTCTAAAAATGTTTGTGTAAAAAAAAAAAGATAAAAAACAAAAAAACAGCAGAACATTTTATTTAGAAATCTTAGACAATCCTGTTTACCCAGTGAGGATGGAAGGCCAAACAGCTGATGGCCCCGATCCTTTGTCCCATAAAGCCGTCGTAGTACTTGATGTTGCTGATGACATCACCATTAGCGTTGTAGACGGCTATGAACTGGTTCATGGATCCGCTGGAGAGACGGATGTTTCAGGTTTATAAAAGCTCTTAGACAGCTCTGATGTCGGGGTGGAGTGAACTCACCAGGCAAAGAGGTTGTCCTGCGGGTGGATGTCCAAGGCCGTTAATCCCTTTACGGTCTGCAACACGTTAATGGAGTCCGGTGATCGAGGCTCAAAGAACCGAACGTCTCCGTTAACGCTAACGGGAGACATCAGAGTCAGAACGAGCAGGAAAACAGTCGTACGTGAGAAGTGGGAGGAGTAGGAGTCTACCTGACGCTGATGATGTTTCCTCCTGTCTCCTTCTGCAGGTGAACCTTCACCACCCAGGCTCCGTGTTCCCTGTAGGTCATCACACGGCTGCAGAGACACAACCGTGTTTAAAACAGAACAACGGCTGCAGGGTGGTTTAGCAGATAGGTGGAGCAGCGTTTAAATACAAGGAAGTGGCCCTTTAAAAGGGTAAATTTCACATAGTCGTTATTTTTCTTATTTGGCCCTACTGGGGAATAAAATAAGAACCAAAATAGATAAGTAAAGTTCCTAAACCAGCTGTTCTGTTTCCAACTAGAAAACCTTTCAATGAGCTTTCATAATTTTATAAGAACACAAAACAAATGATTAATCTTCTTATTTGTATTTTACTGTCATTTGCAATTTTTCAAAATAAAACACCCAGCAGACCAATGGGTATAAAAAATAAACCAGTTCTTGGCTACTTCTTAAAGGCTCTACCTGATGTTTTTTTTTAATTAAAGGTTAAAACAGAAATGGTTTCCAATAATAAATAACTCAACAGCTTTATGAATAACAGCCAAAGCTTCATGTTGTAACTGTGATCTGTTCTATGTTTTATTCTGTTATAATGATGCATCCTTTAAGCATAGCTTAAACAGTTGTTTATGTTTCTATAAAGGTGTGTGTTGCAATTTGTTGAGGAAATGAATGTAAAATAGTTTTAAATTTCATTATTAAATTCTAGGGGTTGGCAATCTATGGCTCTGGACCCATGAGTGGCTCGCTGGAGCGTCCACATTGGCTCTTAATGACCAACTCATTTAAAAAAAAATCTGAAACAGCTTTTCAGGTTTTTCCTCCAAAAACTTCATTTAATTTCCAATGAAAATTCACTTTTTTTCTTCATTTTAAACCTAATAGAAACAAAATGTTTTTTAAAAAAATAACAAATATCTTATAGTAGATGTTGAAGGAAGAGGATGAAAAACATTTCAGTAAGAGTCCTGATTTTAATTTCAGAAATTTTGGAATAAATAAATAAAAATAATTCCAATGGCCTCTCTGCATATATTTGTCAGAAATTAGAAACAGTCTATTTTTGACTTTTAATTGTAAAGGTCGCAGACCCCTGGTTTATTTTAGAAAATAAATAAATAAATAAAGTTTTCTGCTGAAATACACATGAGTCACCACAGGGAGGCAGCACAGCACCAATACAAGAGTGAACATCTTTAGTTTTAAAGAATGAATTACACAACTCACACAGTAATACAGAACATTATAAATTATAGATATCACAGAAAAGCTCCTGAGCTGCTCAACAAAAAGATATTGAAGCCATTTTTTCTCCCAGAACCTAAAAACCCAAATCAAATATTAATATGAGGCACATTTAGCATTTAAAACACAAAGATTTAACATCTTTCACGCATCACCTGCTCTAAGGCATTCACAGAGGGAGCAACAAAGTTCCCGAGAAATGTAACTCCCCGCCTGAGGAAAAGTCATAAATTACCTTTCGTTAAACATTTATGTACCGGTCCAGTTTAGCTGCTTTAATTTAACCCCAAAGGAATGAGATTCAAACAATGCTTTACCAGCTGAAGAGAGGATGAAATGTCACCATGAGCCATTAAAAGATGTGACAAACCCAAAGGGACATTTACAGCACTTTACATTAAATAAATATGGATTCAAGAAGTGAATAATGCAGGAGTGAGTTAGAGCTAATGTGCACAGCAGCTGTTCCGCCTCCTCTGCATTGCATTTAAATAGAGCCTGGACCCTTAAACACTTGAGGAAATTAAACTGTAGACTCAAAAATGAGAAAATGATGATGTACCATTCGTTGGGACCCATCCTGCGATCGAAGACCCGCACGGATCCGTCACCCAGACCCGCTACGATGAGCGATCGCTGGGAATCGCAGGACAAACTGGTCACACAGCTGTCGGCTCCAGTCGGGATGTCCTGGTACCAAACATAGACAACCCTTAGAAACCTCGGAAATCATCAGTTAGGATGGACTCGTTACATGGCCACTGGATTCATATCAGGTCCATCCATCACCACCATAATTAGTAGAGCAAGGTCAATGAAATATGTGAAAAAGAAGAGCCTGCAGCAGAGAGCAAGGTGAGATTTATTATTAGCAGTTTATAAAACAGCATTTTTCCTGACGGTGATAATAAAACCATCGTCTCAGATGAGAGGTAAAAGGTTTGTTTACAGACAAAAAAAACCCCAACAGTTTTTGGTGTCGTGGTTGCTGGCGAGATGCACAAGATCTTCACCTTAAATCGGTGTTTATTAGCAAAACACCTCCTGGACCACTGGACAGATTCTAATGAAACTCTCAGAAACCAACAATCAACCTTTGAAGCCAATCCAATCCAAGATGGCCGCTATAGGAATAGGGCTGAAGGCACTTAAGTGAAAAATTTGTGCCAATTTCAAACAAAACACAACTAAGAAGACTCATTCCAATTATTTTACTAACATTTATATTATTCAGCCGATGAAATTGTAAAGTTTTTACTTTGCACCATTTAGTGGAATAACTTCTCTGAAACAAAACAATCCTGGGTGGTCTTTTAAAATTTTTATTATTGACAATTTTTTCTTCTACACCTTCTGCGACAAAACAACTCCTTCAGGAGATGAATAGAAAATTATTCAGTTAAGCTCCATAGTTGCTGTGAGGGAGAAGGACGGACCTTCAGCCTGTTGTTGATTCCATTTTCAGGCGAAGGTCACCTTCTTCTTGATGTTGCGATGCTTTGAAACCATCTCCAGAGGCCTCTCCTCAAAGAGCTCAAGAGCTGATGTTTTAGGTGCAAAATGAGGGACGATTAGGGTGATCTCTAACGCTGGACACTAGCTGAGAATCCGGAGTTATGAATCTGTTAAAGGGATCCACTTTGTATGTGCATTTCTGATCAGTCAGTATCTTACCAGCAGCCCAAACTTTATGCAATCCTCTACATAGAAAAACAAAAATCCACAAATCCTGACAAACTCCAAGGATTGGTGATTTAGAATGGCCTCCATCAACCACGGAAAAGGACCAACACTGTAAATAAGGTCTCATTGCATCAATTTCACGCAACTGTCAGTAAAAACATTTGAAATGGTTGTAATTTACTCCAGTAAACTAAAACAACTGGGCAAAAAAAAAAATCTAAGATTAATGAAGCAGCAAACTTTGTGAACATAGAATCTTGAGTCCATGGAATCTCATACCATCTTTACGAAGATGGCATCCAACTGTACATCTCCTTTAAGCCCCATGAGATGTCTAAGCTGCAGCTGTTACACACCTGCTTAGACCATTAAAACCTGGATGGTGGGAGCTAAAGACCAAAGGTGACAGATCATTTGCTGCTGTGACCCCCAGACTCTGGAACTCTCTCCCCCTGAGCCCGAGATCAGTGGACTCAGTGGTCTCCTTTAAAAAGCAGCTGAAAACTCACTTAATCAAGCTGGATTTGGTGTAACCTTCATCACCACTCTCTCCTTATTCTGCTCTTATTCCACCTTTCCCGGGATCCACTGGTTTCCCTCTTTCTCAGTCATTTTCTCTCTCCATTTCCTCAAAAATGTTTTAATCACAAATCAACATTTTTTCTCATTTTAAACATATTTGTAATCATTTTTTTGAAATTTTGTTATACTTCAATTATTTTTTGTTTTTGTGAAGCGCCTCGTGATTTTTATCTTGAGAGGCGCCACATAAAAGTTCATTTTCTTTCTTTCTTTCTCTCAGCTTCTGGTCACGGCTTTGATCTTAAGAAAAATTTGTCTTAGAACAAGCTTTATAATAAACTGTCAGAATAATACAATCTAAAGTAGTTTGTCCGCAAAGTTTCAGTATAAATATGTAAAACCAATACTTTACTTCTGAGAAAAAGAGAGACAAAGTCTTCAGAGACATTCCGTACCTGGACTTTCATCTCTCTGTCGGTGTCCCAGATCCGAACGATTCGAACATCTCCAGATGTCATGAGCAGACCAGTGTCCTGCTCCCAGTCCACGACCATCCCTGCTCCTGGAACACAGCACGGCCCAGCAGTTAAAAACAAACAAAAACGGGTCAGAACACAGTCCTCTAACACACAGCAGGGATATTTACTGGTATTACAGCAACAGAAGACTGCGTTTTAATCACAATTAAGCTTGAAATATTAAATAATTGGGAAAATAATTAGCTCACAATATGGAGCATGTTTTAATTTGCTGTTTTGAAGCATTTAATTTAATTTAAAGCAGACCTACACACAGACACACACCTGTTTAACACTGAACAGCATGTGTTCACACACAGCCAACTCAATCTGGTGGAGATTTCAGGCATCTCACGCTGCCACAAGCAGCAAGTCAAATGAAAGATTAGTGCAACAGCACGGCTGCACAACTAACAACCCCTCTGCCCAGAGACTTCACCAGCACGTGTTTCTGAGTGGACAAACAGAAACGTGGAGCAGCCATGTGACCGTTGGGAGAACCTGGATCTGAGCCTGTTGGCTCATCCCAGTTTCAGTGAGTCAAAAGGCGCTCGGGTGAGAAAGCGAAGAGGGAAGACAGCGAGGCTCCTCATATGTTGGCAGTCACAGTAGGAACCGAACTGAGCCATGTGGATCCTGCAGCGCCGTCCAAAGGGCTCTCGCTGCAGCTCACAAAACAGACCTGTACAAAAGTCGTCAGTCAGCCCTCGCCTCTTTCAACTGGATGTTCCTCCCAGACAGCCAGAACGGCTTCAAAGTTTCATTTAAATCTAATTTAATCCAGTGGTTTTTCAGACTATCTGGTTTTTTGTTGCTTTTTGAATCAGCTTCAGCCCCTGAATGATAACTTTCAGAGGAATGCTTTTTGTTTGCTTGTTAAGCCACTGAACTCTGCAAAGAACCCGTTTTAAATTGGATCTTTATGCTCTTTGCAACCAGCAGTCTGTCACAAATCCACATTACTTTAGTTGAATCAGGAAAGTACCAAAGATAACTCCGTTAGAAGACAGAAAATAAGATTTTAGTACCAAAAGGCAGCCCCCCCCCCCCCCCCCCCCCACGTTAAGAGATACATCTCTCAAGTTTCTGCAGGATTTCTCCCTAATATTCCCAAAAGTCTTTTTTCTAATCCTTTAATATCAGAACAATTATCTTAACTGGGTTTGCAACCAGGACTAGATAGAAAATGAGTAAAAATGTGCCAAAATCTAAAAAGTAAAAAACTTGAAAAGACCATCTGAAAATCTGGAGTAACTAATTAGGACCATTTTAAGGATTACAAGAGTTTTTGGCTGATTTGGAACATTTAACTGGGAGTGTCATTTAAATATTTTTGCTGTTAAAAGTCCCACTAGTTGTCACACTGGTGTGGTAAATTTGTTCTGGGGAGCGATGAGCTGCAGACACAGCCGCGCTCAAGAACCATTTGGTGGTTTAACCCCCCCCAATCCAACCCCTGGGTGTCAAACAGGGAGGCATTGGTTGCCGTTTTTTGAAAGTTTTGAGTATAACCCGACCAGAACGAACCAGTTCTCCTCAGATCGAGTCACATCTCTTCAGGTCTACGAGGATCCAAACAAACAAACATTATCGTCATTCCCTTTTCTGATTTTAAAACAAACATTTCCAGCTCATGCTCTAGGTTTACGCACCTCTTTATCAAATCTCAGAGCTCACACGCACGCACACACGCACACACACACACACACACCTCTATTTTGAGTCGTGACTCATCAGTCTCCTAATAAACCAGCCATCAGACTCATCTTGTTCTACTGAACCCGGGTTGCCTGGATAAACCCGAGCCTCACGCAGCGGCTTCAGCCTCTGACGTCATCCAGTCTGCTCGGGCACCACACCGCCTGAAGCGTGGGCTCCTGCTCAACCAATAGCGTGCAGAGAAAACCACTTCACAGGAGCGCGGCTGTGAGAAGAGTCGAGGCATTCCCTGTGAAGCTGACAGCTTAGATGTGAGGGAATCTGGGATACAGTAACAGGGGAGGAGAGCGGAAGATTCTCCGACACACTGAGGCGCGTGTGTGCATTTCCTCTAAAATAAAAGGAGGAAGCACGTCATTCCTGTGATTTTCCATGGTTACATCTTTGTGTATGCATCAATTTCTTCCCAGCTGCCTCCGATGTTGAGAGGTGCGTCAGGGATGAAACGGCGTGGACGAGAGGAGACCTTCAGCTGACTCAGCAGCCCAACTTTATCTGTGCATGACATTTATGTGAATGGCTGGATTAACTTTGTTCCTCTCAGCTGAATGCATGTTTGAGGTGGCAGGAATTAATACGAAACGAATTAATACTAAAAACTCGAATTAAAAGACCAAAGATCAAAGCTCAGTCCTAAAATCTTTAGAGAGAAACTGATGTTTTTGGTTTTCATAGCGCTAAACGTGCCAATTCTCAACAGATAATAAAAATAATCATAAATAAATGAATAAAGTATGAAGAATTCCAATGCAACCCAACAGAAAAGTGTATTCTGCTTTTGCAATAATCTAAGAGGACAAAACATGTTTGGCTGAACACCTAGGAGAGAAGAAAACCAATATCAAAAGAAATGTTAAAGCTGCAGTAGGTGGATTATTGGGATCCCCATGGCAACCACACATCTTCCTCTTTCCTGAATTGTGTTTCTACCTGAGCTATAAGAGCTCCCAAGAGGATTGGCTTTTTCCACTCTTTCCACTAAAATCTCAATGTGAATTATGAAAATGTTCCATTTTTGTTTCAATTCAATTCCTCACAAGGTACTGCAACCAAAATTCTTGCAACACTAGTCCTGACTGAGCCACGCGTCTCCATGTTGTGCGTACAGCCTTTTCAAAACCTGCAGGGGGGGTGACACCGATTCCACACTGGAGGAATCAGCGGTGCGGAACGGCAGCAGGACGGTTAACCCATGTGCTTTTAGGCACATCAATCCACACCGGGAGAGTCCCAGCTGCGAAGTGGCATCTCCACCGTCGTCCTCGATGTACTCGCAAGATCACAAAATCTCTCGAGACTTCCAAGGTCACGATTTGTTTATACCATCCTTCATTAAACCAAAAAGAAGAAGGAGGAGCTTCTTGAAAGATTCTGCGAGTAAATAAACCGTCACGTCACACATTTAGATGTAAATCTGCATAGATAGATAGATAGATACATCTCTGAAACAGACTTATTTTGACAACTATCGGACGTTTTACACTGATACCTTATGTCATTTCCTGTCTGGCCCTATGTTAACTGCAGAAATTGACAAATCTGAGAAGCGGTTCGGGGCAAAAATAGAACTCAATCCTATCATTAGCGGTGTGGCTAGCTGCTTCTGAAACAAGCCTTAAAAGTTCTGCGCCGCGGCCGGTTGGGATCAGCCCCATAGACTACTATGGATTCTACTTGAAGCAACGATATTCCACTGTCATTGCGCGGCGCTGATTCCTCCAGTGTGGACCCCGCTTAATGAGCTAAAATTGGCGACAGAAACAGAAGAAGCTTTTTTTCACCACTCTGTTTGGTTTGTATGTTACAGGGTGAGCGTCCCGTCACTGTATCCCCATTGGTCATGCACCCTGGCTACTTGGCCATGGGATATCCCTCTGGCTGACTGGTTAGCTCGCAACTCTCGCCTGGGAGTCTGGGGATCGAATCCCACCCGGGCCCTCGTTTTTCCACCTTGCCACATATGATACCAACATAAAATGTTACTATTATTGTAGAATCTTTACCAGACAGAAACAGCTTAACGCTTTAGTCTGAGTTGTTAGTCATCTACTAAACAGTGTAACATTCATCTTTTCCTTCGCAGAAATGTCTTGTATTTATTGTCTTCTCTCTCTGGGGGAGACGCTTCCTCCATACTCTGCTTTCTCCAGTGATGGCCTTACTATCCCACCGACCACAGCTCGTTAAACCTCCTTCTCTCTTTTATCTCTCCTCCATCCTGCTTTGAATCGTAATCCGCCTCCCCTGATTTTATTGGAGCTTTTCCTTGCCTTTAACAGACGCTAACGTGACCCTTTGGGACCCCTCTGACTGGCAGCGAGACTTCCTTAAAGTGACATTTGTTTTCCGTTAGGAGCTTAAGAGCGTCCGCTGGGAGGCACAAAGCTTTGGTTAACAAAGACTTTATGAGATGAGGTTTAATCTGCACCACATTAACACTTGTCGACCTAATTATCCTGGACAGAAGATTTCTTTCATGCCTTTAAATAATTCACAACCAGGGAGTCGAGCTTCACGTCACCAAATTAATAAAATCCCTGTTGTTAAAAGAATAACAAAGCTGTTCAGCTATAAAATACAGAAAGTTATTCAGAGAATTCATTGTTTTACCCATGGAAATAAAAAATAGATAACAAAAAATCCATGGATGAACTTGTCAAATCGAGAGATAAAGGTAGACACAAAAATCAGATTTGAAGTTAAAACTTCGACTAAAACGGGTCAGCTTTCCATCTCCAGTGATCCTCAGGCTCTCTTTGAGCTACAATAAAAAAGAGAATTCAGTGACTTTTCTTCAAAGGTCCTGATATTTAATTTAAATCAGCACCGTTCTGCAAATAAAGGAAAAGTTCAGACAGAAAATGTAAAGTTATAATTTAACCCATCTCTTAGTGTTTAATTAGAACATTCCAGCTGCATTTTAAAACTTTAATAAATGCAAAGATTTAATCAATAAATCCAATATGTGTAGTGTTAAATTATTAGGCTGAAATCTGATTTAATCTAACATTTTCAACACTGGAGCACCACGAGCATAAAAACCACACATAAATGTATCGGTTTCTTCGGCGCAGCTAAAAACATTAATAATGCACGACTCAACATTTACAACACACCCCTGAGCTACAAATCTGCTCATAGAAAACATCACCAGTGGAAAGAAAGAGAGAAATGTTGGTGTTTTATACCCTGGATTTTAATCTGTGTGCAAAATAAACTACCATGATTGTCCTTTCAGAATAAAAGTTCCCTTTAAATCTGGACTTGATAAACACTGGCAAATGCTGAAAATGACATAAAACTCAGCTGTATGTGAAAAATAATC